GGGGTCCTGTCTACATAGTCGCTCCATCTGTCTGGGCATCAGTGCCCGGTGCATCACTCTGGTCCTGGGTCTCAGTACCCAGAGTCGCTTCAGAAGAAACAACAGTATCAGACCCACTAGGAGCTGCCAAGAGTGTTTTCACCAAAAAGGCCTGCACAGTTGCATAGAATCCCTGGGCCCACGAAGGAACTTTAGGATCTTTGATAGTGGTCTTCCTATCAGAAGTGGGCCTCTTGCCCTTGCCTTTATTTCTAGGTGGAGGTTCTTGTCTTCCCGTCATTGGAGGATTTGACCCCCCTTCATTTATTGTGATATCCCGTGCTCTTTTCTGGGGTGGCATGACAATATTGGTCTTTACCATATCTTCGAGATACTTGGAATTCTCCCTGCTAGACTCAACAACATGCAAGCACAACCCCAGAAAATTTAACCAATTTTAAGGCACAAAAAATATGGGATTTTAACAATATAAACACTACGGGAAAGATTTTCACAAGCATAAGTAAAAACAATTAAGATCAGAGAGGCCCAACACATATCACTAAGATAAGATCATTGCAAATGAGTAGAAAATTACTAAAAATAAATTCGGGGTTTAGAAAACCAACCTTAGATGCCGATTAAAATACTTTTGAAATGCTACGCGGTAATGTAATCCAACTCCGAGCACCAATCAACAACTCAAATACAGTAAAAATGCAAGAAATATTGAAAATACTAAACGGGTGCGAGTTTGTGAAGGTCTAAAGTGAGGGAAATTGTAGAGTTTGAAAGTTTAAACCTTTGGGCTTGTAAGAAACCGTCCAGTTCTAGCCCATTCTACGACTCACCGAGTGGATACTTACCTCGTCGAGTTTTACCGGACTTCCAATTTAATTGGGGGTCCAAACGGCGAACTAGATCGCAATTGCCAACCAGGTTGGCAATTCGCCAATAATTTCCTGGGCACGTCGAGTTTTACAGACTCCACTTTGAAATCATCTTTAGTCCAACGACGGTGTAAGTTGGGGTGGCCGACTTCTTCGGCGATGCGCCAACTAGACCTTTGGCTCGCTAATTTGCACTTTTCACTCACTTTCCATACTTTAACCTACACAAACAACACACCATTATTTCTTAAAGCAAAAATAAAGCGGTAAAACCTTGGGTTGCCTCCCAAGAAGCACCTTATTTAACGTCGTGGCACGACGGAACTCCTCACTCAAGTTCCATTAGTGAGGTTTGCCTCATTTTCATGATGTCACCCCTCTTTTGTCTCTGGGTAGAGAGAAGATAACACTTGGTCCATTTGGGATCTTTGTCATCATTCCCACTCATTCTTCCTATTTCAACACACAAACAAGCAAAACAAAACTAAAAATTAAGTTAGTAAACTACGACTAACAAAAGCAAAATTCTACTCTACTAATTATTCTCAAGTAACACAACTCCCCAGCAGCGGCACCATTTTGATGTTTGCGTAATCAAGACACAACTTCCGATGCAAGTGTCTACGATCGTACAATAGTTTAGTAACCCAACCAAGGGTTGGGATCGTCCCAAGAGAGTGGTTTTGAGAATTTATAGAAAAATAAAATTTTATTCTAACTAGTCGTAGCTAAAGACATTAATGAGTAAAAATATTGTAAATTAAAGGGGGGGACACAAGAGTGTCAATTAACAATTTGGGGTTTTTATCACTAGTAAGTAAAAAACAACAAAATCAACAAGGGTTTCTAAGTAATGAGAGGGGATCCTTGGGATGTGATGGAAATACGGGTTAAGCTAGATTATTGGATACATGCTTTCGATAGAAGATTAATAGAGTAAGTGTTACTAGGCTAGACTTTAAGGGGGATAAGCTCTCTCTCGAGCAACTTACCTCGTTTCAAATGTGTTCCTCTCGAACACCCATTTGCCGCATGAAGACCAACATACGCCTTAACTCAGTCACTCTCACTCTCTCTGGAGCTGAGTGTGTGGACATGGGACTAGGGTTCACTCTCTCGAGCTGAACCTCATGTCGACCCATTCACACTGGCCATCAATCTAGTGGTCTTAATTTTATAACCTCTCTCTCGAGCAAGCCAAAAACACATATATAAACTTGTATTTGCAACTACAAATTCATTAAATTCATCCACAACTACTAAACGAAATCACATTTAAACTATGAATATACTATCAGCAAGTAAGACCCAATAATTATCTTAACCCATATTCACTAAATCACACCCCAAGAATTGGGGTTTTTAGCCACACATCAAGAGATAGAAATTTATACCTAAATGAGCTTACATTCAAATGCATATGAATATTTAAGTCTTGTTACAGGCCAAGAATGAAGAATCAAAGAGACCTAAGTCCAAATCCTTGGAGATGAAACCCTCTTCTTCTTCAAGTCTTCAAAACCCTCTCAAACTTAGAGCAAAAATATCAAAAAGTACTATTCTCTAAGTGAAAATTATAATAATTGTTCCACACTTAAAACTACAACTCTACCAAGTATTTATAGTTTTCACTAATTTGTGCTGCAGCGGATCACTCGGAGTCATTAGTCAGAATCGTCGATCAACTCGACGATTAGCCCTTTGGTGTAGTTCATCTCCGTCTTGCACCAGCCTTCAGCATCGTCGTGCTTTGGGTCATTGGGCGACATGGTACTGCTTTGCGAAACTTTTCGGCGATGTACCGACTGGTCCCTTTTTCCACCGACTTGATCGTTTCCTTCAGGGCTCAGCATACTGGAACAAAAGGTGAAGTAAGACCCTTCGGCGACTCGCCATGTGGACTTGGCGATCCTCAGGCCTTCATTTCTTTTTTCTTTTCAGCCTTTTCATTCCTTTTTGCAACGTATTGTCCATGCTTTCCTTCAAACTTCAAATACCTGAAACTCAAGGGTTTTCATCAGATATTGAGATAAAATAAGCATTTAAGGACACAATTTCTATTAAAATATATCCCTAAATGAGTCCAATTTGTGGACTCATCAGTTAGTCGATCAATTTTAGCTAAGCTGAATCCTTAACAAAGACAAAGCTTTCAAGAGGCGTGCTCTATCACTTTCTTCCAACATAACCCACCTAGCCAAAGACAAGAACATAAGAGGATGAAATATTAAAAATATTCAATGCTTGGAAACAAGCATGATAGGATTTATTCTACACGTAATCCAATATGTGTTGCTAAAGAACATAAGAAAATATCCATCTGACATCTACATGGAATACGTAAAAGCAACAAGAAACTAGATCCTCAAACATTCAGTATGCACCCTTCGTGGATACACTACAGAAAATCTCACATACCATTACAATTAATAAACTTGTGAATTTGCAAATTTGATGACACCAGTTGACTTTTTTTCTCCACAACTTTTTCTTTAGATAACAGTTGTATTCAGTAAAAAGTTAGCCACCCAGAAAAAGGTGCTAAGTTGGAAATTTTACAATCATCGAAAGGGTGATTAAACCCCTGCGGCCCTGACCATAACCTATACAATTATAATTGCCAATTCAATATACTAACTCTCCTACTTCCCCCAACAGATTCTGCTTACACCAAAAAAAGAACAAACTAAGACAATTAATCTTATTTTTTTCTGGATAGAAATGTTAGTACCATTCCTTTCTTTCCACACTGTCCACCAAATGCAAGCTGGAATGATCTTCCACCCGTCCTCCTCCCACCTCTATTCCCAATACTCCATCAACTGTTTAGCAGTGCAAAGTAGAACTAGGTATTATCCAAGTTTTTTTTTGAGAAGGTAACAACTTGTATTCTATTCCAAAACAAAAATAAGAACCTGCCACAACAAATTACAGGTTGCTAATTACAATCGTGGAGAGTAGCAGGAGGATCTTTAATCCTATAGCAAAATTTACAAGGAACCTAAAACATTTGTAACTGATTCTAGATCTACCGTGTGCTCCTGTTTACACCAAAAAAGAAACAAAATGAAGCAGTTCATCTTAATCTTCTGGATGGAATTACTCTTGTTTTGGAAGCATATGAGATTTCTTTGTTTCCACACAGACCACTAGATGCAAGCTGGAATGATTTTCCATCTTTCTTTATGCCCAATAATGCCTGCATAATTGCTCCATATCTTAAGAGTTTGCGTAACTTTCCTAGGCATAATCCATTTCATGCCCTTCAAATTGAGGAAGAAATTCCACAAAATGTTGGTTATTCTATGGTGAAGGAAGAGATGGTTGACAGTCTCTACTTCTTCTTCACCATACAGATGCTTCTTCTTACCCAAGTTATTCCCAAAATACAAAAGAACATGTGCCACAGATTTATAGTTGTCATGCAGTGTAGGAATAAGTGTTCATTGTTTTCTCCCTCCTGTACACTAAGAAGACCCCTCTACTATCTAGTTTCCCCCTAATCAATGCATCCACCAAAAGTTCCCAATATCTGAAGCATTGTGACAAAAATCTCTACTTCCTAGTCATTAAGTGACAAAATCTATCTATACTTCAACTAAGTTTGGTTCGTCTCTCCTAAGTTGATAGGACTCTTCACTTTTAGTGTTGTATCTGTGTCGACAGGACATGGTGTGGATGTGGGATCCGTATTGTATTTGGTCAACCCAATTTGGTACTTTGACCAAAATCGACAAAACATTTGGGACAACAACAATGATTTTGTTTTATCAAAAGAAAAGTTAAGCTGAAATTGAAGAAATAATAACATGTATATATCGACGTCTTTGCTATGATATTCCCAACAATTTATATAGGAGTTGTAGCAGTTTGAGTCCATTAGTTTATTACCTCTTTATGGGATTCTCCTCTTGACCAATATATTTTCCTCGAAATACCTTGACAGATTTCCATGTAATGTCTCATAATTTAAACATAGATCCCGTTTGGATTAGCTGATTTTAAATAGTTAATTTTAAATAGCTGATAAGTTTTAAGTTCTCAGAACAAAGAAATGCTAGAACACAAATTTTATATTCACGGTTCAAATTAAAGGCAACACGATAAATGACAAGCAACAACTAATAGAAAATGTTGCAAGATTTGGAGAAAGGAGTCCAAACACAGGGTAAGAGCTCAAGCGTACAATAATAATGAAAAAGAGGTCATAGACCTTTTTGATGAAAAAGCTCATTTACACCCATCAATAGATCAATCTTTTGATGTAGTCTCAAGAGTGGATAGACCAAGATTGAGAATGTTACCTATGAAATCCTTAACTAAGATACAAAAAGTGCTTGGAATATTGTTAGACAAAGAAAGAAGAAGTAGTTGGATATTATGAACATATGGTGATAGGGCATTCCATTTAGAATCTCTTTCCTAATCTAGTGGATGTGGTTTCAAAGAATACCTATAGGAGAGGTGTTGGTTACAAACAGAATAGCAGATGTTGTGGAACGTTGTTGTTGCTCCAATTCTGTACAAGAGACCTTTGACCATCTATCTGTGTCCTGTACTGATTCTAATTTTCTATGGATAACATTTGCAGGAGCATCTGGAGTTTAGGGTCTTTTTTTTCAGCGGAAACAAACCATATATAAATGGTGAAGTGCTAGTTGTGTTGTTAAACTGAATCCACTGTTTAGACCTCTTTCAATTTTTCATCAGTTGGAAGATTTGAAAAAAAATGGATGTTACAAAGCATGGAGGAAGAATGACTAGGAATGTTATGGTGAGGGAGATAAATTGAAACATTTTTTAATGACTCTTTTCTAAATATCCTTGGCTTAATAATGTGCCCAACTCCTACCTTGGATGGTTATATCCTTCTGCAGGGGTGTATAAGTTTAACACTGATGGTCCTAGTAGGTATAAGGATGAATGTAGTTCGAAGGCTTTTTGTGTGAGAGACAGTCATGGTGACTTGTATTTGCTGAAGCTGAGAGGTTTGCCCTGTGTGATGCTTTAGAAGTTGAGGTGAAATTTTATTAATAGTCCTTATAAAAGTTAAATGGTATTTAAAAAACTCGTTACCCATATATTTAATTATTTCTAAGGACTATTAATAAAATTTTACTCTCTCTGAGCTATGGCGCACGTTAGAGTGTACTGACTTGCACCTTGCCGGAAATGGGGAGGGGACAGCCACACAGACACACGAAGGCATCGTGAGGAAGAAATAAGTCAGGGTATTGCTAGTAGCTACACAACAGGACCACCACAAGTAACTAGGAGTTGATTGCTGATCCACAATTGAAAACACCAGAAGAAGCTTCAATTTGTCCGGCGATTGCATTAAGTTAGGAGAAGGGGAAAGTAATAAGGAATAAGTAGTGGCCGGAGCTGTCAAAGCAGAACGGAATTAGAGCTGGGCTGCAATAGATTTCGATAGAAATCAATGGAACAGTAATACAGATAAAACACTCAGGTCAAGCACAAAGGAGGCTTGAATTGAATAGTGAAGCACCAGAGGTATCTTTGGCAAACTTTTTTGCTACTAATCTAACCTACATACCACTTGTGATAGTCGAAGGGGAAAAAGTAGTAGAAATTATGACAGAAGATGTTGCTCAAGATAATGAGAAATGGGCACCATCGATAGTAGTGTATGTGGTGGGCACAACACCATCCATTGGAGCTGTGGAGAGATTCATCCTTGGTCAGGGTACCTTCTCTGCGAAACCTACAATCTTATATCATAGAGATGGCTATTTTGTGCTAAGATTTGCCAATGAGGAAGAGAGGGATATGGTGCCATGTTCAGGGACTCATTACTTAGTGAAAAGACCTGTTATAATGAAGCCATGGGTTCCAGAGTTTAATTCTAAGGAGGAGATACTCACCACCGCACCATTATGGATTAAGCTCCCAAACTTACCTCTTAATTGCTGGAATCCAAAGGTACTAATTAAGATGGGCAGTAGCTTGGAGAAGCCACAATATGCAGAGGAATGTACAACCCAAGTAAATAGAATTTCATTTGCCAGAATACTAGTTGAAGTTGATATCACAAAACCTCTGCCCAAGGTAATTAAAATTCATGTTCCTAAGGGGAGAGTTTCGGAGAAGCAAATATGGTTTGAATGGAAGCCTATGTTTTGCCAGAAATGCTTACAAGTGGGTCATTCATGTGTGGATAAGCTAGCAGCACATCCACAAGTTCAGAAAAAAATCCAAGGACAGGGACAAAAGAAAGAATGGATACCTATCACTGTAATAGGTAAGGAGCAGGCTAATGAGATGGGGCAGGTTTTGCCTCAGGCTCAAAAGGTAACATATCAGCCAGAGATAGATGTAGCACGGGTGATGGGAGCAAGGTGAATGGCAAACTGTTAGATATAGAAATTCCGCAAGGAAAGGCATAATAATATCCAGGATGCAAGGGCATGTACATATATTGATGCAGGGAACCCTAGCCATACAGGAAGTCAACAGAGTGGGGAAGAAAATGGGGGAAGCATGGAGGTACCACCTAAACCCACCTTAACCTTATGATAGTAACATGGAATGTGAGAGGTTTCAACCAAGAGGTGAAGCATAAAGAGATGAGGTAGTTTGTAAGGAGAAATAAGGTAAAGATCATAACAATATATGAACATATAGTAATATCAACAAGAACAAGTCTGATTATTAAGAAGAGCCTGCCAGGATGGGAATGGTGCACAAATGACAACATCACTATGAGAGGGAGAATTTGGGTGGTTTGGAATCCCAATGAAATTACTTTCACCATGATGGAAGATGTAGAACCATACATACATGGTTTGGTGGTTACAAAAAACAACAATATATAATTTCAATATATGGATTGCACACAATAGCTACCAGGATTCCTTTGTGGACACCACTTCAGCAACTAAACAATCATATCAGAGATCCTTGGTTGATTATGGGGAACTTCAACTCTACACCAACACAAGAGGACAATCCTGTTGGTAGTCAAGTACAAGATGCAAAGACAAGGGATTTTCGAAATGTTTAATCGATTGTAACCTAGCAAAATTACATATAGGAGGAAGGAAATACACTTCATATGAGCATGTTTATAATAGAATTGACAAAGGTTTAGTCAATGATGCATGGATGGAAACAATGTCAGTATAACAAGTCATGGCTATGGATCAATTTCAAAAAACAAGTCATGGCTATAGATCCACTATTCTCAGACCATTCTCCATTAGGTTTTATAGTAGAGGAACAAAAAGATACACAAAAGAGACCATTCAGATTTTACAGCTCTATAGGGAAACATCCAGAATTCAGAGTGTAACACCCTAGAAATTCTATGACTTAAGTTAGAGCTTGACCTTATGAATAATGACTTAAAAATAGTTAAAATGATGTTTTTAAACCTAAATTAATTCAATTGACTCGGTTTGGAAGAGTAATAGTCTAAACGTCAAGAAACAACCACGATGTCTGGAAACTAGAGAAGAATGTGTTCTAGTGTGTCCTTAGGTTTTGGACAGGTTTAGGAGTGTCGTATGATGGTATAATCTTGTAAAAAGGTTTACATTAGGTAAATATATGTTTACAGGGTCAAAACATTTGAATACGATTCCCTGGGGCCACCTAAGGGCCCCCGAAGAGGATCCCAACCTTGGCCAAGCAAGCTGCCAAGACAGCTTGCAGATTGGACTTGGAGGGAATAGCTCTACATCGCGGACTAGCTCCCCCAAGGAGAAAAAAGTTAGTTCGCGACGCGGTCGTGTCGTGGACTCTACTATCTCGAAATTGAATTCCAAATATCTTCAGGGAATAGCTCCGCGTCGCGGACTTGTTCCGCGATAAAAATGCAGAAATTTAGAAATCAATTTTTAGTTCATTAAAGAGTCCAACTAAGTGAGGGGTATTTAGGATACTTTAGGGGGCGTATATATAATGATTTTTAAGTCAATTTACCTCACTTTTATCACTCAAACACAAAACCCCAAAGATCAAACCTAAAGTTCCTTCTTCTCTCTACTCTCTCTTTCTCTCTTCCCAATAACTCCATTGAAGAAGATTGGAGCTTCAAGAAGAAGACCAAATATCCAAGGTTTCAACTCAGATTTTCGTGGTTAATTCATCAATAAGGTATGGTTGCTTATCACTCTTGGGATTCCTTTCCCCAAGAGGCCCCTTCAAGATGAATTTCAAAATTTCCAATTTCTAGGTTTCAATCCAAAAACGTGGGTCTTCTTTCTAAAGTGAAATTGATGTTATAAACTGAATTTGATTGATGTTATATGAACAATTATGGATGAATTTATATTGTATTGGTGGTTTCTTGAAGAATTCCCCATGAGATCCATGTTTCTCTTTCTTTTCCTAATTCTAACCCTAGTTTGTGTTGGATATCAATTGAAGGCTATGAATTGAATGTGATGTTATGTAATTCATGTTTGTATGATGATTCTACCATAGGTTATGTATAATTTCTATGAAATTAGGGTTGGGTCTTTGAATGAATCCTTCAAGTCTATGAAGGGAATATGTCAATTGCTTATATTGATGTTGATTATGTTATTACTTCATGAATTACCTTGTATTATGTATTGGTTATGAATTAATTGGTAATTGAAGTATGGATGTCCCAAGAAGGGAAATAAGGTATGGAGGTTGTTTCTTCTTTGAACTCGAGTTTAAAAGGTGAATTGCTTATATTGTAATGATGCTATACCTAATGTGTTGTTGTAGTGTTGATGACCTAGTTTCCTCATCCTTAACTCTCTACACTTGAATTAGCTATGAAGTATGTATGCATGTTATGGTATGATTGCTATATGATTGAAAGGTAGTCCTCATGATTATAATGTAATGTAAAGTGAAAGGTTTACTCACTTGCTAAGTGTTTCTTAAGAGAAAGAATTGTTACTCACTTATGAACACATATGAGCTATTATGGTAAGAAGTCTACATAAGAGTCTAGTAAAGTAAATGTGAACTATGTGATGACTAAAGATGATTACAAAATGGAATTAGATGCTTAGCACCGAAAGGGCATGTAAATGAGATGGGGGTCTCACGTTTAGTAAGTTCGGCTCCCCATATGGGTTTCCTCACGTTTAGCAAGTCAGAATTACCTACGGTATGTGTTGTCTCATGAGATGAAAACCCCCACGTTTAGTAAGTTAGGGTTTCTAGAAGCAATATCCTTGACCCTTAACTATGTGCCCACATAGGACTTTAGCTTAGTGGATCCACCTAGATAGCTATGTACGAATGGTTACACCTTAGGCAAGTGTTAACCCTCTCTTTTCGGTGTGGGAGTAGAACACCGGATTCCATGTAGCTCTCATGGTGTATGTCGGTTATTGCAATATTTTCCCTAATGTAAAAGTAAATGAAGGTATGAAAGGTGTGAACTCTTACTAGGGCTTTCTTAAGGGTTGCTACATAGTGTAAGGGAGGGTATGGGACTTCTCTTGCGCATTGCACTTGTGGGATCCTAAGAGATTGTTGTAGTAGTGTTCTCTTATGATTATGATGATTATGACTTATGTATGTTGAAGCTATGTTATGTATGATCATTATGAGTATGGTAAGTTATGATGAAATATGATCTTATGAATGTATGTATGAAGTAGGTTGCTTAATGTGATACTTGGCTTTGAATAGGGTTATGGCGTTCTATTCTTTGCATTGCATTAGTATTGCTTGGGTTGTCTACATGTTGGGATGATATTATGTTTGATTGAACTATGATGCTTAATTTGTGTGCATAATGGATTTACTTGGTAAAAATCATGTTTTGAATAAATGTCCTTTTATGCATGTTTCAATGGTTTTTATGCATAGTAGCCATACTTAGTACGTGTGTTGTACTAACCCATATTTTCTCCCTTTTCCCCAAATATTTAGGTTCGGGCCGTTGAGGATTCAAGCTTACTTCTCAAGACACTTGGAGTTGTTTCCCCAAGTTGGTTAGTCCTCAAGTCTGAGGACAAGACCCTATGATCTAGCTTCTATGTTTAGTTCTTTGATTATGTTGAAAGACATTGTTGTACTTTCCTATTTCAAGACTTCTTATTGATGTAAGGGTTAAGTCCCATTTTCGATACTCATATGTCTAGATGGTACATTGTGACGAAGTTAGATTCTGTTTTTCATATGTGAAGTGAAGTTGAACTTCCAATGTAAAAAGTTTTAAATTTTCCGTGATTTTATTCTATGATACATCTTATGACGAATGCTAAGCGCTTTTATAAGACCTCTTCGAGGTCGAATATGCCGGTAGCGACTACGGGGTGCTCTCAGGTCATTACAAACTTGGTATCAGAGGATAAGGTTGAGAATAATGTAGGATTCATGTCACAAGATACCACATCGAGTAGAGTCTTGTTCATGGGTGTGAAGCGCGCCACACTTATGAATGAGAGGCTACGAGATGCTTAGGAACTTTCACTCTTTTGTTATTCCATAGTCATGCCTAAGAGTCTTCACTCTATTTAGTTCTTTTCTTCTAATCCTTCTCTTGTGCTTATAGGCAATGAATACAAGAAGGAACAATGCAAGGAGGGCCAGCGAGGAGAATGTGAATGAGGTGGTACCCTCTCAAGCTCCTCAAAACCCTAAAGTTCCAATTGAAGAAGGGGCAATGTCTAATGTTGAGATAAGGTCGGCTATTCATAATTTGACTCAAGTGTTGGCCACTCAAGTTACTAGGGATACTAGGGTGCAAGTGAACCCCAATGCTAGCACTACCGCTTCTAGGATAAGGGATTTCACAAGGATGAATCCCCCTACTTTCTTTGGCTCCAAAGTGGAAGAGGATCCACAAGGGTTCATCAATGAAGTGTTTAAGGTTCTAGAGGCTATGGGTGTGTCTTCTTAAGAAAAGGCGGAGTTAGATGCCTATCAACTCAAAATGTGGCATAAGTGTGGTATGATCAATGGAAGGAGGGAAGACCTATTAGAGAGGGTCTGATAAGTTGGGCTACATTCAAGACGGCTTTTCTTGATAGGTTTTCCCCCTTGGAACTAAGGGAGAGGAAAATGTAAGAATTCATCAACCTCCGTCAAGGGGGTGTGAGTATGAAGGAGTATGGCCTCAAGTTCACTCAATTGTCCAAGCATGCTCCTACTTTGGTGTCGAACTCTAGAGCTACAATGAACAAATTTGTTATGGGGGTATCCGATCTTGTGGTGAATGAATGTAGGTCGGCTATGCTAATCCCAAGCATGGACATTTCTCGCCTTATGGTTCATGCCGAGCAAATTGTGGAGCAAAAACTTAAGCAAGTTAGTAGAGAATTGAAGAGGTCAAGGGCCGATGATGGAAATTCTTCTAAGGTTAGGTTTGAGATCCAAGATAAGTCAAAGTTCAAAAAGAGGTTTTC